ATTATTCGCTGACGGGTGTTATCTCTTGTTTTTACAGGTTTTGAGTAGATCCAGGAGAGTGCACTAGTGGCGAGTAGATAGTGTAGTTTCCTTTTGACAGTTCTAGACTTGTGGCCTGTGTGCCTAGTTTATGTTTTGTTAACCATTGATTATGGTTTTAACTTGGTAATTTAGCCTGTGCACCTGTAGTATGGATAGGTGTGGCATGACATTCCCGTATTTGGTTATTAGCTTCCGCTTTATCTTAAATGAATGACTAGTTTATCCTTTATGTTTAAGTTTTAAATTGGTGTTAAAATCGGGGGTGTTACAAATTATTTGACCAAATTTTATGTTAAATTTTATATTATATATTTTTTTTAATACATTTTAACATATTTATAATATATGTTTAACAATTATGTCAACTCTAATTGGGATAGGGTTCGAACTTAAAACCTTTCTTATATAAATTATAATGAGTATGTTAAGAATAATAAATAGTTATTGGAATATTTCGTTACAAAAGTTTATACTAACGAATTTTTGAGTTATTTAAGGCCTAACATTATTGGCTCTTATTAGATTTGTAGATTTGATTACAACTTTACAAAAACGTTTATAATATATCTTATATTTGTAAAGATCTCAAATAAATTTATTTATTACAATTGAAAAAAAATTAAATTTGATTGCCACAAAAACAAAGTATACTATAAATTTTAAAGCAATATCAAATTTAGGGTTCGAATTTAAACATTTATTTGTTAGGATAATTATCCTTGGTATGCATTGCTTTTCATTGATTTCTATTAATACTTATTATTTATATTTAAATTTTTCTTTAAAAACTTTTCTGATGTATCATATATTTCGATAGATATTATATAAATTCATGTATTATAATTTAATAAAAATATAAATTTTGTCATCACAAAAAGATTATTATAAATTTGAAGGCAATATTATTTTGTTGGAATTTTCAACATAAAATGACATTTAAGTTACTATTTTGTAGTATAAATATATGTGGGTGTAAACGCGAAAAACTTGAATTGTATATATTCAAAATTCAAAGTATCGGTTACAAATAGTATGTATCAATCAAGAAGGGGTACAATCTCTGTATATGAGAAGTCCTCTGATTCTCTACTAGAAGTATGCCTATTAGATGTGTGCCAAATTTGGAATATGCCAAATTGGAAGTGTGCCGAGTCCTGAGTATGCTGAACTTGAAGTATGCCGAGTTCGGGAGTATGGCCGAACTGGAAGTATGCCGAGTTCCTTGTTGGAAGTGTGTTGAGTTCAGAGTATGCTGAACTGGAAGTATGTCAAGTTCGGGAGTATGGCCGAACTGGAAGTATGCCGAGTTCGGGAGTATGCCGAACTGGAGTAGTTCCTTGCTGAAGGGCCTCCGGAGTTGGTAGCTTGTTCCTCAATGAAGGGCTAATATGCAGCTTGGTCTTCAAAGAAGGGCTTCCGGTGTTCAAGTGGCGTGTTCCTCAGCGCGGTATACGCAGTACAACTGCGGGCGTGTTCCAGACGATATCCTGGCGAGACTTCGGCAGAGCTTCAGTATGCAGATTTCCAGAGCCCATTCTTTGAAAATGAAACCACTATTTATAGTTGTGAGGGTGAGAGAAAATCTCCAACCAACTCTTAATTCCTTATTTAATTTAATTTCTTTAATTAAATTAAGGAATGTATTGGGACACCATTGCGTCCAGGTTCATGATTTCACTAAATTTCCAAATAATATCAAATATTCAAATCCCTCAAAATTATATAATCCACATATAATTTCAATGGGCCAAGACCAAGTCAAGCCCGCTAATTATGCAGCCCAATTCATCCAAACAGTCTGGTCCAACTTAATTAAATATTCCACCAACTTGGGCCAAATAATCGAACATCCAATTACATTTAATTAAGTAACTAGACTAATTAATTATTGAATGGGCCATTTAATTAACCCAATTAAATAAATATTAGTCCAATTAGCAAAATTAAAGCAATTAATCTTAATAATTAAATATCCACGACGACCCAATAGCATCATTTAAATTTTCAATGCTTACAAATTGCCCCTTCGTGACTTGCTTGGCGCGTTTCAAATGCAAAGAGAAGTAAGTCCCGAAACACTAACATAGTTCAAGAGTCCAATTTCGGAGAAAGTAGTCCAATTAATTATATCTTAGTGGTAGAGTACCCAATTTGATAACGGCCTAATATTTGAAAACCCATAGTGTGTCCACCATTTCATTTTAGCCGATTTTTTAACCCATAATTTTGGCCAAAATCAATTTCCTAGAATATGAAATTTGTGAAATCTCTCGATGTACATAGGTCTCCAGAATGAGGTCAATATTCCATGGTAATCCAAAGTAACCTCCCACAGGTTTCCAGAATGAGGTCAACATTCCATGGTAATCCAAAGTAACCTCCCACGCCATTCACACTTGCATTCATTGTGGGATTCTACTCACATAATCAGGAACGGATTGAGATAAAACAAACTTTGAATCACAGATACACTTAAATTCATCCTTATACCTGGTATTCCAACACTATAAATAGCCGTAATGATTTATCATCCTTCAAACCAAGCAACAAAGCAGCCTGCAATTGATTTCACTCGATCTTCTCTACGAGGTAACTTTAATTCCGCAATTTACTATCTACTCGAATTTTTTTGACAGAGGAATAAGGAAACGAGAAGCATTATCTTCTGAGGTGTATCTCACCATAACTTGCTTGCACTGTCCACGGAAAGCATTGGGCTGGAATTTCTGGGAAATTAATATGCTCCCAGAATGCTCTCTACCATTATTTGGACCTCCAAGGCGGCCATTATCATGGAAAGGCCGTCGCCGCAGGGTGTTGCTCCGGCACGCCTCTGTTATTGCCACAATGCTGGGATTTCACCGGGTATGTGCTCCGGCGTGTTGCCGCCGCAGGGGAAGCTCTCCCGGCACGCGCTCCGGCGTGTTGCCGCCGTCCTACGAACCGCCGCGGATGAGCTCGCCGCCGTAGAGTGCTGACTCGAGGCTGTCGCACCACGGTATAGCGATGCCGTCGCAGTGAATTCTCTCTAAGCTTTGGACTTGGCTTCATGGTTACTTGCTTTGACGAAGCCCTGCCCCAGCCAATGAGAATTAACTTTCTCGGGTTGTGTCCCTCCATTGTCTGACTTTGCATCGACGTCGCCGGAGGAGATCCGCCATTGCTGGCTTCTACGACCTCTTCTGAGAAAGAGAATCACAACCTGACTCAACGCTGAAGGACGCTATAGCTCAACTTGCTAGAGCTTGGCGAGAAAGTACCCTGCGCTGCTTCGAAAGAAACTTCATGTTTTCTTCCAGCTTAATCACAACTGAAGAGAGAGACTCAATATACACCGTGAGTCTTCATAGAGCTTTGTGCTCTAATAAATTTTTAATGCCATCACTTCTTAATTTTCTATGCATGTGCTACAGGCTTTTACTTTCACATATTCCCATGCTTTTTCCTCCCTGCTTTGCGTGTAGATATATACATAAAATACACTTTGCAGGCTACTTTGCTTCTCCTTTCTCTTTGTGTCCACGTGTATATATATAATATACATAACCCATCTTTATTCCTTCTCATGGTTTGCATATATTTATATAATCGCACTGGTGGAAGGGTGATTTGCTTTGCATGTGATGGGTGTATATAATAATATATATATTTAGATATGCAGTGTACTAATTTTATTTGTGTTGTGCGCATAACATATATATTATATATTCGCTTTGCATAACATTGTGTGGGTATATATGCACACACGCATATAATGCATATGATACGCATATAATGCATATGATACGCATATACGTGGTAGGTGCATACATATAATATATATGTTATATGGGTTGCCTTGTACACATATTGTGACATGAGAGTTTCCTTAAACACTCTTATGGCAATTTTCTTCGAGTCTTAGCCTTTAGATGGCAAACTTTCTAAGCACGGCTTGACTTGACTTTGAGTGGAAAAATCAGACTTTTTATAATTCGAGCCCCCAAAGACATGGTCTCTGCAATCCAGCTTACATCATGTGCAATATCCAGACATGCTCTCGACTTTCGGGAGATGGATACTTGTAGGTGCAGCTTCTTTATAACTAGCATCCTTGCTTTAAGAATGAATTTAATTTCATCAAGGGAACAAACTGAGGCCATACTCAGTATGTATCATGACCTTTTGGAGGCCACCATGAGGCAATTTCCACTCGTGTCAGAGAGTCTTGAAAGATATGAGGCAATTTCGACTCATGCCAAGGAGTATTGAAAAGATATGAGGCATTTTCGATTCGTGCCAAGGAGTATCCTTTAGCTTCCTCTCTTTAAAACTTCAAAGGGTTTGCCCCTGTCAGCTTACTAGTAAAAATGCATGTGATTGAGACATATTGTCGATGCTACCGAAAATTCAGTCAAATCTGAGACGGTAATATCAAATGCCAAGGCAGAAGTCTCTCTCATCAAAGAGTTGAACAAGGCGGAGATGAGCTTAGAGGCATGTAGAGACAACATGCTTACCTTTAAGCTTTTCATCGACTGATGTTCTTTTTCCTTTAGTTTCTCTTTTTGGTTGCAAGACTTTTTGTTGTTTTGTTTCGAATGCTTCCCATTTGTGTGCTGGTCTTTTAGTGATAATTCATACAACTTTGCTTTGACCCGTTGAAGGATTGTCTGGATAACCCATTCTTACAGCATGAATTGGATTTGCTTTTTGTTATGACTGAACTTAGGTAATTTGATTCTAAGCTGCCTACGTACTCCTATAGAGGAGATCAAGTCAAACGTAGTTCAAATGATTCTTTTTTTTTTTTTACAAAGTAGAGCCGTTCACAGTTTAGACTCATGCGGGCCAGGAGCGTCTATGATTTGGGCCCACCCATGGACAAAGCGAGATGCATTAGCAGTTTAACCACGTGCTGCATTTTTGGTGGATGAGTCGCTCATCATATTTCCACGACTTGTGTTGACACCCCAAGTTTAAGGGTGGTAAAGCTTTAGGAACCTTCCATTGATTGGACCGATCTTCAAACCATCTTCACTAATCAACTTGTAAGCCCCACCGGTGTAAACTTCTAGAATCACGTAGGGACCATCCCACTTTGAAGTGAACTTGTGACCAGTTTTTCTCGTGACGATGATGGGCCTGCGAACAGCTAGGACCTTGTCCCCAATTTGAAAGGAACGGGTCCTTACCCTTTTGTTAAAAGCTCTAGACATGCGAGCTTGATAGCACTCCAGGCTTTGTTGCGCTTGCAGCCGTTTCTCATCCAAGGCTTCTAACTCAGCCAAGCGTAGCTTAGCATTTTCTTCATCAGTAAGACCCTCCTGTATAGCCAACCTTAAGGAAGGTATTTGACGTTCTAGAGGTAGGACCGCTTCTACACCATACACCAAAGAGTATGGAGTGCTTTGAGTAGGTGTACGGTATGTGGTTCTATACGCCCACAAAGCTTCTTCCATTCTGTCATGCCAGTCTCTTTTCGATTTGGAGACCACTTTCTTCAACAAATTGCATAGGGTCTTGTTAAAAGCTTCAGCAAGTCCATTTGCAGCTGCATAGTAAGCTGATGAGTTTCGCTGCTTAAAGTCAAAAAGCATGCAGATCTTGTCCATCAACTTGTTGTCAAAGGGCTTCCCGTTATCTGTTAAGATATATCGCGGGATACCAAATCGATAGACGATGTGGACACGGAGAAAGTCTGCAACATTTTCTTTCTTCACCTCCTTCAATGCCACGGCTTCCGCCCACTTTGAAAAGTAATCGGTGGCAGCTAATATGTAGGCATGCCCTGCAGATGACTTAGGCGTAATTGGGCCAACCACATCAAGTCCCCAAGCATCAAATGGCCAAGATGCAACTGTTAGGTGCAGAGGTTCTGGTGGTTGATGGATAAAGTTTGCATGATATTGACAAGCTTGGCATCTTCGAGCATAGTCTATGCAATCCTTTACCATTGCAGGCCAATAATATCCCATTCGCTTAATGTGGAAATGCAACTTGGGACCGGATTGATGTGCACCGCAAACCCCAGAATGAGCTTCTTGCATAGCTTGTAAAGCTTCCTCTTCCCCTAGACATCGGAGAAATATTCCATCAAAGGAACGACGATACAATGTTTCTTTATAGTAGATGAAGCGAGGAGTTCGACGCTTTATATCCACCCTTTTACGGGGATCTTCAGGTAACTTTCCATCAGTGAGGTAGTCAATTAACGGTTGCCTCCAGTCGTCTTTGCCTATATCATACACTGAGGTAGTAGGGAGTTCAACAGTTTCATCAACTGAGCCGTCTTCATTAAAGATTGGTGGAACCACCCACCTTTGACATACTTGTATTCGGGCTGCAGGATGAGCAATAGTTGAAGCCAATGCGGCTAAGGCGTCAGCTTGCTTGTTTTCTTTCCTCGGTACATGTTCAATTGTGACGTCCCCTAACCATTGCATGAGTATCTTGGCATAGTTGTTATATGGGACTAGCTCCGCCTTTTTCACTTCATATAGACCCAACACTTGGTTTATGATCAACTTTGAATCTCCATAAATGTTAATTCTCAGTTGCTTCATGTCAGCCGCTATCTCGAGCCCAAGTATCAATGCTTGATACTCAGCAACGTTGTTTGAACATTGCTCGGTTAAGGTGAATGAATATGGCAACACCTCGCCTTCTGGAGTGACGAAGACAACTCCAACACCTGCCCCTTCTCTATGTGAAGCTCCATCAAAGTACATTTTCCATGGGGGTAGGACTTCAATGACAAGCACATCTTCATCAGGCAAATCGTCAGACAACTCCCACTCAGCAGGTATTGGATGGTCTGCTAAGAAATCGACTAAGGCTTACCCCTTGACAGACTTCTGCGGCACATAGATGATTTCAAATTGTTGGAACAATAAGTACAACCTTGCAAGGCGGTCAGAGAGCACGACCTTCGCCATAACATACTTCACCGGGTTCGCTTTGGAAACAAGCCGGATTGTATGAGCCTCAAAGTAGTGCTTAAGTTTTTTGATGGCGAACACAAGTGCCAAACATAGCTTTTCAATTGGGGAGTACTTTAACTCGTTCGGGGTCATCATTCTACTAAGATAGTAGAGAGCATTCTCCTTCCCTTTGTCATTTTCTTGAGCAAGCAAGGCGCCCACAGAACAATCTTGGGCGGAGATATAAAGGATCAGCGGGCGACCATGGACAGGAGCGGTTAGCACAGGCGGCTTCATCAAGTATGACTTGATACTCTCAAATGCGCTCTTGCATGCCTCGTCCCATATGAACGGGATGCCCTTTTTCATCAACCGACTAAAAGGTTGACATCTTCCTGCTAGGTTTGATATGAACCTTCGGATGTAAGCCAACTTCCCTTGTAAGCTTTTAAGCTCATGAAGGTTTCTCGGCTCAGGCATCTTCATTATGGCGTCAATTTTGGCTTGTTCAATCTCGATGCCCCTGTGTCGAACAGTAAACCCGAGGAACTTTCCAGCAGCAACCCCGAAAGCACATTTCATGGGGTTCATTTTCAGTTGAAACTTTCGTAGGCGGTCGAAGACTTGCCTTAAATGCACCAAGTGATTTGTGCGCAATTTCGACTTCACAACCAGGTCGTCTACGTAGCATTCGACCATTTTATGGAGCATATCATCAAATATTGTCTGCATAGCCCTTTGGTATGTAGCACCTGCATTTTTCAAACCAAAGGGCATTACTTTATAGCAGTAGATGCCTTTTGGCGTTCGGAATGCAGTTAGGTCTTCATCTTCCGGTGCCATGCGGATTTGATTGTAACCGGAGGAACCATCCATGAATGACAGGATCTCATGCCCAGTCACGGCATCTATCATTAACTCCGTGATAGGAAGCGGGAAGTCATCTTTCGGGCATGCCACATTAAGGTCCCGAAAATCTACGCAGACGCGGATCTGGCCGTTCTTCTTGCGCACGGGAACAATACTGGATATCCAGGTTGGATATTTAACTTCACGAATGAAGCCAGCCTCAATAAGCTTATTAACTTCTGTTTCAATCGAGGGAATGAGCTCGGGGCGGAAGCGTCGTTGAGCTTGCTTAACCGGGCGACACCCCTTCTTCACTGCTAAGCGGTGCACAGCTACCTTTGGGTCTAACCCTGGCATCTCCTTGTATGTCCATGCAAAGACATCAATATATTCTTTCAGCAATGTGACATAGATTTCTTCATCTTCGTCAGATAGGAGTGCGCTAATGAAGATAGGACGAGGATTTTCAGGCGTTCCCAGATCAACTTCTTTTAATTCGTCCACCGCGGCTCGTACCCCTTCTTCTAACTCATGGGGTGCATCTTCTGCATCTTCCCCCTCAATCGGGGTTTCATCACATAACGTGATATGGAATGACGATGCCACCTCTCCCTGAGTGGTTGGTGGTACGTCATCACTTGAGCCTACGCTTTCCTCATTCTCTTCTTTATATACACGAGTGTGTACAATGGTCTTCGGTTGGACTTTCAACACTTCACCACATGAAACGTGAATATATGTTTCTCGTCTCATCCGAGAAGGAATCATGCTTCTAAGCCTTTTGGGAGGCTCCACTTCAGCAGGAACATTGGCACTGTCTTTAATAACTTGGACAGCTCCAAGTCGATCATGCATTGACTTTCTCTTTAGGGCTTTAGGACTTGACCCCAGTCTATCGAAGACTGAGCGTCGAGAGTCCGCCTTACTGATTCGGTCGAAGACTGACTTCTTTTTGTCTTGCCCATTATCATTGGTAGGAGTGAGCTTTGGGTCATACTCGCTTCCCTCCGCGGAGATACAATTACTTGCAGCCCTGTTTATAAGAATTCGCACTGGTTTAGGGGGAACATAGCCCAACCCTTTGCGAGTTTGAGGTTCTTGGTGGCTTGCCTTGCCTTTACCACCGGCTTCTGGAATAAGCTTTCCCAACTTCTGTGGCTCGTTGGGGTTATAGCCAGCCTTGGCTAGAAGCTTATAAGCGTTAGGGTCGAAACCCTCGGTACGTTTGGCGGGGAATATTTGGCCCACTTTATCACCACATTTCTCTTCGGATGATTTTGCTGCATTTGTTTTGAGTGTATCAATCCTTGCAAGCGGGAAGATGAGTTTCGTGTTGTGTTGATCCCCCTCTACAACTTGTTTTCCCTTTGACTTCGATCGGGAAGGTGGATCGTCATTGTTTCCCTCAATATCTTCAACAATAACTTGCCTTTTAATGTAGAACTTTGCATCTGCAAAGTAAGACTCAGCCTCTGTGAAAGGGCTTTCATCGGCGACAACCTTCTCAACTACGCCGTTCTTTTCAAACATGAGGCACTGATGCCAAGACGAGGGTACCACCCCATTTTCATGTATCCATGGCCTTCCAAGTAACAAGTTATAAGATGTCCTTGCATCTATGACATGGCACAGGACACCTGAACTTAGGTTTCCAATTCTTAAGTCAAGTTTGATGATGCCGATTGCTCTTTGCCCTCCCTGGTTGAAGCCTTGTATCATTAGACGACTTTGGGCAAGCTCATCTGTAGGTATACCAAGGTCCTTCACAGCTCGGAGGGATAGGATGTTGACAGCTGAGCCTTGATCAACCATAATTCTTTTGAGTTTTTACCCACGGGTGTAGCCTTCAACAAACAATGGGCGATTGTGTGGCGTGCCTCCAAGTAACAAGTCTTCATCCTTGAAGGTAATTTCTGTGGAATAGGAAGTAGCCTTATGCATTAGCACTTCCTCATCCTCGATATGTTTAGGAGATGAACATTCACCCCCATCTTCTGGCTTGTCATTTGTATTTAAGCAGGAGCTAGAAGTGCCGGCCCCTTGAAGATCAAATCCTTTTGGCATATATTGAGCCAAAGGAACTGGTGCTCGTGGTTGCTTGACATGCCCCTTCGTCTTTGATTTGCGGGCATGAGTATTTTTTGAGGTTTTCTCAAGCCAACTTTTCATTATGTGCTTTTGATGCTTCACAGGCTCGAATTTCTTCTTTCTATGAGTGACAATCACCCATTTACCTTCGAATGTGTTATCATTCCGCTGCGGTTCTGAACTTTGACCGACAGCGTGCTTAACAATGAAGGGGAGTGGACGCTTCCGTTGTTTCCCATCTTCCTTTTCAGTACACAGCAGAGCGAACCGTCCGGGTGTAATCGAGATTTGATTTGAGCTCGCGTTAGCATCGGCAAGCTCGATTTTTCCATCTCTGGCCAGTGCCATTACTTTATCTTTGAAGATAAAACACTTCTCAATCAGATGACCAAGAAGACGATGATACTTGCAATAGTGTGGATCATCCACCCTTGAAGCTTCCTCGGGACGTTTCATTTCAGGCAACTCAATGAGCCTAAGTTTAAGTAGCTCATCGAACATGGGAGATACATCGGAATCCATGAAAGGATAAGTCTTCTCCTGCCTTTCTTCAATTGTCGGCCTTCTACCACCCCTTGACGGGCCAGAAAATGATCTTGACCTAGGCCTTTCAGTTGCCTTAGTGAAGACTGTCATGGGAGTAGCCTTCACATTCATCACTTCTTTCTTTTCCTGCTTTGGAAAAGGTTTGTTCCACTTTTTAACTTCTTGTTTTCCAGGTGCATTGGAGGAGCTAGGCAAGTTCAATATGTTATGCCCTCCGCTGGCTTCGATGCTCAATTCCATGTCGTGAGCACGACTGGATAACTCCTCAAAGGACTTTGGCTTAATCCCTTGTAGGATATAGGAGAGTTCAAAGTGCATTCCTTGGATGCACATCTCAATTGCAGAACTTTGGGATATTCTTTCTTTGCAATTCAGGCATAGTTCCCTCCACCTTTCGATGTAGGTACCGGCGCGTTCACCCTTCCATTGGCGAGTAGTAGTGAGTTCCAACAAGCTGACCGTTCTCCTTGTGCTATAGAAACGAGTTAAGAACTCACGTTCCATATCATGCCAGCTATCAATGCAGCCGGGCGCAAGGTCAATGTACCAATCAAACGCAGTTCCCTTTAAGGAACGGACAAACTGCTTTACCAACAGATCGCCATAAGTCCCTGCATCATTGCATGTCTCCACAAAGTGGGCAATGTGCTGTCGGGGATTTCCTTTGCCATCGAATTGCTGGAACTTAGGAGGTTGATAGCCGTAGGGCATTTTCAATTTCTCAATTCTTTGTGTGTAGGGCTTAGTATAGGAATATGAAGGTTGTCCTTCATCCAACTTGCCTTTGATGGCCCCCATTATGTAGTCCTTCAACTGATCCACCGGTATCATGCCTTGGGTAACTGGAATAGTTTTCTCAGTTGCAGGTAAATGGGAAGCAGCTTCTCCTACCACATGGCTAACATGAGGTGGTGGTGATTGCTGACCAACCTCTTCTTGCCCTTCAGGTTGCTTTCCTGGAGCACGGCTTCCTTGCTCCTCCATGATGCTTCCTACCCTATTATCGAGGGTGTTAAGCCGTTTCTCTTGATTTTGGAGAGTGACAGCCATTCCTTCCAGAGACTTAGCAATTCTAGCTAATTGCTCCTCCACAGACTCCGTGTTTGTCGCCATGGCCGGCATGACGTTGTAGACATGCGACCACTCAGGTGCAGCCTTCCACAATGGATGAGGCGGAGTCACGGGGGAAGTGCTCCCGCTACTAGTGTTCCCTTGCATAGAAGTTGGACTACCACCATCGGTAGCTCCCTTGGGAGAGGGTGGACTTCCAGCAAAAGCAATAGCCTTTGAGGCAGTAGGGGCCTTGTCGAGCCTTCGAACCACCC